GGGGGGGAAGGGGGCCCAAAAAAGAAACCACAACCAAAATCCTTGAATGGAATTATGGAATTTAGTCAATAGTTCCATGAATTCCCAATACACCGGGAAAAATAACCCTCTTGGCCAAGATAACCCTCTATAAAAGGGCAGGTAAACAATATTGCAGAGATTGAGGCATAACACCAGACATTACTTATTATCCTGAGGTAGGAAACTGAACAGAATCAGTTCTGTTACTCGTTTCCCCCATGAGTTAATGTCTAACCAGTTCAGCCAGATGGGGGAAGGACTTTTCAGTGATCAGGGTAAATACAGGCTACATGTATATCCACCTAATCACCCTCAGCATGTTAAAAACAGGTTTTTTAGCAGTCTGATATACACAGCTTATGAACAGAAAGGATCGTTGAAGCCAAAAGGCTCTCCAAATTCAGGATCATTAGAGAAGCCTTAGAAGAAGAGAAAAAGCTCCTGGATTTGCATCTACTAACTCCAAGCCCATTGAGCAAGAAAGGTCAGCACTGCCTTTCCAACATTACGTATATACATACCAGTCATAGTTTTATTCCCACTTCCACGATTCTTCTGAAGGCTGTGTATTTCTTCAGCAATCTTCTGCTTCTCAGCTTCCAGGGCTTCAAGTATCTTTGCATGACGAATAGTATGATCTTCTAGAGCCTAGGGGAGAGGGAGGATATTAAAAAACCAAAACAAACATATACACACAACACCCCCTAAAACTCTTAATGTTGTTTACTGAAGCAAAATTTTTTGTTGATGTAATTTTAATAAGTCCCAGAACAGAATAAAATTTATATTTGACATCTGCTGTATCAATACCCTTCCTATTCAAACTCTTGATAGTCTTCTGGTTTTGTTTAACTATTGTTATGCTTAAAAAAATATTGGAATTAAAAAGAAATTACTTTTTAAAAATTTAGTCATATTTGTTGCAGCAGTCACATACATAAACACCAACCAAAAACCAGTCATTACTTACACATAACTCCTGAAGTCATAACTTTTGGCACAGGCAATTGTTGTTAAATTTTGTTGGATGAACAAAACCACCCACATCAGATAACAAATAAGGTCAGCATTAGTTTATCCCTGATTCAGTCCAATATTCAATATAATTTGTGTAAACAAAACACCTGTTCTTTTGCACAAAAATCACATAGAACATTTCAGAAGCAATTAATTTAAACAAAATAAACACCAACAAACAATCAAACAACCAACTCACAAACCAACCACACTTTATCCCTTTATTTTAAATTACCTGCTTGGTAGCTAAGGTCTCCATTTCTAAACGCTTCTTATTGAAGCGTAGCTCCAGCTCAAGGTTCTGCTTTGCCTTCTCTAACTCCTGTATTTTTGTGGCAGCTTTTTGGTTATTCAGTTCTTGGATTTGCTTCTTAAGAGATTCTTCTCTCTAATATAGAAGAGGACAGATGAGTGGAGGATTACCACTTGTACAGCTTTTCTGACCCATTCCTTTGGCAGATATTAAGGCTTATTTTCACCTTTTACACATTTAAAACATGCAGCCCCTGTGGACTACTGAGCCCAGTGTCAGCAATGAAAGGGTATACCTTAGTTCACAAGCATCACATTATGTCTTCTATAGCACATTGAGAAATATGATACTCCTTCACTATTATTTGGTTTAACATGATGTACTACTCTGTATTGACTTATGCATACTGTAAAGGTGTTGAAAAGGCTGGCAACAAAATAGCATGCAAATTTGGAAGAAAAAAAGATAAAAGCCATGTCAACTAAAATACCATAGCCATTTAAAAGTCTAAGAATAAGTTATATTTTGTGGGAACACACCATCAAATGCACACTGAATTAACATTTCAGTTCCTGACTAATTCTATAAACAAAAATTCCTAGAATAATTCTGTAAGAGATACGTATTTACAACTTCTTGTGTTAGAGTAAGGCTGATATTTTTTAAGAAAAATGGGGCTTAGCATTCCCTAAGACACTGTTAAGCAAGACAAAATAACAACAAACAGAAATACCCAAGCAAATAGAAACCCCTTGCTACAGCTTCCAGCAACTTACCACCTCTGCCTCCAGTGATTTTATTTTGCTTTCATAAGCTTCTTTTTGAGAGGTCAGTTCTTGTTGAACCATCTCTTTTGCAATTTGGACACTTTGCATCATTTCTTCCTTGGCTTTGAGTCGTGCCTCTTCAATTTCAGATTCAAGCCTACAAGTAGAATTATTGCATGCTTAGAATGCTGGCTTTAATCTTATATAGGCTGCATAGAGATCAATCTTTTCTATCACGACAGGAGCCTCCAATTTTAACAGTAAAAATAAAAATATGAGGGTTTGTTGATTTTGCTGGGGTTTCACGATTTTATTGTTATATTTTATTATATTTTAACTATTCTTTTTCCTTTATACTCTACCTTTACATTTTTCATCTCATAGGGAAAATGCAGATGCTGGTAAAGATGCAAAACATTCCAGAATTTTAAAGTCCACTCGATTTCCATATTTATTTTATCAGGTACCTTTCAAAATTAAGATTTGCAATAGAAATTCACTATATCACATTAAGATGCAGGAAAGTACATTTTAAAGTCAATGAGTCCTGCATTTTAGTAACTCCCAGGAGCAAAGCGAGTACAAATAACACTTTACTGTCTTGCAAGGTCTCCACCACCACAGAAGACCAAGTTTGTAACTTTGGATTCTTCTCATTTTTAACGCATTTTCTTTTCAGGCTTTAAATCTCTCTAAAACATCAAAAGTTAACTTCAGACTCATTATGTGCTTGGAAAGAAAGGTAATTGAAGAGATACACTACTCTGAGGACCTCTGGAGCTCAGCATTTCTTTAACAGTAGTCTATATTCTCAACAACTGGACTAGATTGTGGTGATCACAACTTAGAGGTACCTTCATTTCAGCTAAGTCTGGGACTTCCATTTCAGCTAAAAATAAGTTAACAGTAACCTTGCAATTTTCCAACTTTCCCTTATCGGGAAATAATTTATAATCTTAAGTTTCTTATTTCTTAAACGTATTTCAAGATTGCATTAACAACTGAGCTTATTTTTAGAACAAGAAGATACAATACTTACTGTGCTCGCTGGGCAATAAGCAGCTCATTCTTTGCAAATTCAAAATCTTTTGGACCATCATGTAAAAATGTTGCCCCACAAGATGATGTTTTAACTTTCTGAACTTCTACTGGATGATTAAACCTGAAATAATGGTCTCCCCCAAGGATCACTCGATCACCCTATGGGGAAACAGGGGGGTGGGAAGAAGTGGAGAGAGATGGAAGAAGTTTGTTCTATAACTTTCAGATTTATAAGCAGATTTACAGTGCTTAAAAGGCAGCAGGTAGGGCTAGAAATTAAAGTGGAAGAGACAAATACGTACAGTTTCAGAGCCTTCTAAGAAAACCTGCAGTCTGAAGTTGTAATATTAACAAAGAAATCCACACATACACATACTAATATTACCAAATCAATTACTTACATGATGCAGAACTGTTGGGTTTAAAATGCATTTTCCATTTACGTATGTCTTTGCTTCTCCCAGTGGAATAATGCTCACTTTGCCAATAGTATTTTTTATAACACTGAAAACAAGAAACATTTGTGATATCAATAGCTCACGTTAATTGCAAATGAGGTTTCTTAATAGACTAAAATTCATGCTTTAGTGTCCTTGTTCTTTCAGATGTGGATTGTCTTCATATTCCTAAATTACAACATACATAAACAGTGAGCAACAACCTATACTTTGGAAAAGACTCATATTTAAATCCAAAAAGAATGCTAAAAAATTCAATAATGCTTGATTTCCCTATATACCCACAACTTTCATGGTTTTACTAACTGATTAGTTAAGTCTCTTACAGCATTTTGTCTAGAGTCAATTGCATGGAATGCACTTTAAACACTGTTTCTACAATATGGCCAAGTTGCTCTCTTTTTTAGAGCTGTCAAGGCATTTCACTCTTCCATTGAATTTAACGTAATTGTTATCACACAGCTTCATTTGCTCAGGTCCTTCTCCAGAATTTCTGAATAAATAGAAAATTTTGCTGCACGAATGAATGATTTTAAAAAAGAAATTAAACTACCTTGGTTAACAGATTTCTAGAGGGAACAGAACAAAATTACTTTAAATCACCAAACAGTACAAAAATTATCCCTAAATAGTATTTTCGGTGTTAGAAAACCAAATCTTCTTACTGCCAGAAGAAAGAGTGACTCCAAAAGAAAGGGAAAGGTGAAGAGAAGTATTTCCTGTTTTCACTTCAAGTATAAAAAGAACACTACATACCAATGGTCATCAGCAATTAGCACTCCGGAAAGCTGGATATCATGCTTTGAATTTGGTGTATACCTTCCAACTGTAGTTTCTCCTTCTTTGATCATATACAACAGCACCTCAGAAAGCTGAGGATCTTCACTGAGATTGACAAGGTTTGGTAAATGATTGTCCATTTTGAATGCAATTCCTGCTTTCTAAATAAAAAGAGAGTTTTGCATAAAAAAACCACCACAATCTACTTCGTGCATTGAAGTGTCTATATTGATTTTTTTTAAGTCACAGTTAAAAGGCTGGCATTAACGAAACAAATCTTACAACTACTCTAATTTTTATTCAAGGTTTGCTGATGTTTAGTTTTCTGTACCGTTGCCTATAGAAAGTGAAGACAGAAAATGTACCTGCAATTCTTTTGCATCTTCCAATTTCTTTTTTTCTGCTTGTTCAAATTTTTCTTTCCAGGCCCTTAATATATATTAAGGGGAAAAAACACAACATATTAGGATAAAAGTTTTAAAATATAAGTTTTACTATTTCTTTTTTCAAGTAAGACACTAATGACTGCCCGACCTTTGCATTTCTGCCATATCCTTCTCCTGCTGGTGCAATTTTACCCTCAGAGATGTTATTTCCTGCAAATAACGCCTGTATTTTTCAGGATCAGTGTTCAGAGCGCTTTTCTGAGCTGCCTTCAGTTTTTCAATTTCAGCTTTCAATTCTCCATAAGACAAATAATACACAAAAAGACAAAATTCAGTTTAGACATTTTGGTACAATACTAGAAAATTAATCTTATTTAATTATAAGTTAAACTTCTTTCACCATTCCAGGTTCTTAAGTGTAGCCTCAGATATGTTCTGAACTTTGGGGAGGGGAGAGGGATGGGAAAAAGCTCACAAAGAATAATAATATTAAAAGGAAGTTGTATTCAACTATAATTCAACTTCAGTTGTATTAACCTAGGTGACAAGTGCTAAGTCAACACAATAGATTATTAGTAGTAACAACTCTGATGGAACAGTAAGTTGAATACACAGGCAAATGAAAAACCCTCAAAGACTGTAGATGTCAACCTCACCTCTTATTAGCTTGGCATTCACATCTTCATTTACTTTAGCAGTGTTGATAATTGAACAAGCCTGTTTTGCATAGCGAAGAGTGCTGAGGGTTTCTTCTGTACTGCTAGCAGCTGGACTTACTGTGGCAATCATAGCAGTTTGTGAATTTCCACCAAGACTTTCCTTTAACAACCTGCATTTGATAGGAGAGTAGAAGTCAATCCCCAGCTCTCACAATGAAAGAAAAATCAAGTTTATCAATCTGAACAGATTAAATACAAGAGTCTTGCTACTTATTTAACAGTGATTGTTAGCTACTTCAAATACAAATCAAGGTCCTGTTTGTTCTTTACCTAATACAACAGGCTAATTTCTTCCCTCCATAGGTCTCTTGAGAGAGAAAGGGAGGGAAGGAGGGGAAGGGATGCCTCCTGATTAGAAGAGGAATCCACAGTCTCAGAAAGCATTTACTTCTATATTAAAACAAAAAACAAACCTGAAGTGTACCTACCAAGTAAGGACAGATTCCCGGTAAGGAATGAAAGTTTTCTTTCCATTTCTGGATTGTTTAGAGAGAGCAGAAATAACCTTTCCAAGGGTTAACAGTGATTTATTGATACTCACACCCTCCTACACAAAACAAAAATAAAAATAATAGTTGTATTTTCTTGTGTGACCTTATTGATTGTACTGTTGATTTAATTGTGCTTATTTGATGTGGTATGGTACAGCTATACCACATTAAATGTCACCACTGATTAAAAAGAACAACAATATCAAAGAGTAGCCTAGAAGCTCTTTCTCATTTGGAAAGAACAGAAACTGTGGCTTTAACATACACAATGTCAAAAAACATAAAACTTACAAAGGCAGCTTGAAAGAAACTGTCTTATTAGAAACTCTATTTACTTAAATCTCCCACAAAAAAGGGGCAAGCCCCAACCCCATAGGAGTTCAAATCTGAGTCACGAATCTGATTCAGGATTCGGAAGGTGACATGAACAGTTTTTCCTCGTTCCTTCTAAAGGGTCATCAGGCCTGCACAGCAAGGGGAGTGCTGTCCTAAGCAAGATATGGCCTGCCATACTGCACAGTCAAAACAGCTTCTTAGCATCATCCACTCTCACTAGCAAAATGCTGTGCAATACTTATAAGCATAAGGCCTACGTATCCTTTTATAACTACAGTTCCTGCGCAAAAGTCCTGGTAGATGAGGTTACATTGGAGTTTAGGGGTATTCTTTGGAGTCAATTTTTTTCCCACATATTTCCCACCTTCATTTACCTTCAGCCTTTCTCCACTGGTCTGAGCTGTTAAGCAGCATTCACTGCCAGCCAGATCAATCAGATTTATGTGACTGGTAAGCCTACGATCACATTGTTCTTCATCTACAAATTCTACCTGGGAAAAAAAAAAAAATAAAAAATAAAGAGAGCTGTTTGCATCCAGACCAAAATAACAAGCCCGACAACAAGCAGAAATCTAACGAGCTGTTCACTTTAAATACATTAATTAATTGAAATTGAAAAAGAAACTTCCATTTACTTTTTGACAGGACATCTTCAGGTACACGCTTTGAAGGAGACTAAGTTCAGACTTTTAACCGTAGTATCAATTGTTTGCGGTTGAATAACTGGATAAGCATAAACTGCAAACAATAGATTAGCCAACCATGGATTTGATTATTGCAGCTAATAACCATGGAAATAATTAAGCTGTTACTGACTTGGACCAAGGAGGATCTGCTAAGCAGTCAGTGGAAAAATCTCAGGACTACTTCTGACAGAGAAAAGAAATAATCTAGTGGTGAGAATGGTGACGGGAAGAAGGAAGGAGACTATTAGGAAATTGGACTGAAAAAGTCAACCAACCAAGAACAACAAAACCCGAACCAACAAGTTATTTGTGAATGGAGAAAATTCACTGTAGACTTCTGAGGAGCTCTACCTATTTCACTTCTCGTTTCAGGCTCATCTCACTAGCTCAGGTTTTGTCTCTTACACATCTGCAAATCAGATGAGGAATTTAGGCCCTATATCCTGGATACACATGGGTGAGAGATGCATCCTGAAGCAAGGAAACATTTACTTGGTGACCTGTGTTGAAACTGAGGAGAAACTGCATCTTATCATTGTCCCAGCTCATCATCTGCAGAAACTCAGCATAACTCTCCAGCTTGCTTAGCCTAACCTTCTTAGAAGCTAAAGTGTGTTGGCAGCAGTTAGGCCTGGCATCAATTTGATTTCTAGTTACATCTCAAAACTCACACTCGGAAGCTTGGAACTACTCCTAGATCTGCCAGACTAGACATATTTATACTGCTGCTATAAATGTATGTAGCACAGAGACATCAGAATCTGCTCAAAGCACATCAAGTAAAATAAGTTTTGCTGTGTAGAAAGCCATGTAAAAATGCCTTGTGCTTTACTCATCTTCAAGAATATTCTCACAACAATTTTCTAAGCAGCACATGAAACTTTACTACACAGTTTGAACAGATATCTAACACCCAGCAATACCTTGGTTTGTGTCATGACAAGGGTGAAGACAGAATGAGATCTAGAGCTCTTGTCATTCATTGCTGTAGCAGCTGTTGCTCTCTGCTTATTTCCTAGTTCAAGCCAACTCTGTAAAAGATAAAAGCCAGGATGTGAAACCAAAACCATTTTTGGACAGTTAACTGAAGATTAAAATGTCTGCAAATTAAGTTATTAATACACATGATGAATCTATAAGGGAGGAATTAAAATTTAAGAGATAACCATGTGAAAAGATACACTTGCCTGTATCCATCTACTTAGCTCTGTTATATAGGACTATTACAAAATCAGCTGAAATATCATAGTCTACTGGGCAGTCTGTAAAGCATTTTCGTCCCATCCGTGGAATTTACTTTTCAGCAGTGAAGGAAAGAACAAGTAGAAATATTTACATTCCCTTTTAGTAACCAAATAACTCTTACCTGGATATCAGAGTAAGAAGTGACAACATTCCTAAGGTGGGAGAAAAAGAGAAGCTCGGATTCAGACTGTTTTCTTTCTAGTTTTCCCTGCTGCCTGAGTTCTGAAATATTTCCCAAGTTATAGACAAAATAGAAAACAGAAATATACCATGAAAGCTTCAGTTGCCTTAAGACTTCCATGCACTTATTTCACTAAAGCACTAAACCAAAGGAAATAAGTTGAGCTAAACATGTGTATGTGTTTTTCTAAAACTACATGATGCTAAGGTCTTGCCTAATTTACTGGTGAGTGCACAAGCTTTCACAGAGTTTATAAGATAATAATTAGCACACTTTTTCAGGATTACACCATACATCTATTAAAATAAGAACAGGTAAGACTTACACTGTCAGGCCTTCTACATATGGTCCTAACATGGGATGTTCTCTTACTCGAAGCTGGTGAGAGTAATTTTAAAAGAAAAATTATTAGACATGCATTAGTTAGACTTAACATTCAGGAATATCTTAAAACTCAGAGAAAATCTAACTACATCCCTAGTATGACAATTATCATCAACAAAATTTAGCATGAATCATCTAGAACAACATTTTCATGAAAATACCTACAACTGAATTTTTCCAGCTGCCCAGGAAATCACAGCACACTGCCCAGGCCATTGTTCACAGAGCCAACTGCCTGAACAGGTGCCTTAAGTTACACACATAAGAAAACAAAAATATTGTCTGCAACATAAATCTATTATGTTCCTAAGGTAAATACCTTAGCTCAAAATCACTGATAAACTCAGATGAAAACACTCCTAGTATAAACAAGACAGTATAGTTTTTACTTCTATGTAACAAGTCCATATAAGTATCAAGTTTAGAATAAAAGACTTTTCAATGGAAAGCTGAATGTAGCATACCTTCTTTATCATAAGCTAATACTCAGAGTTTACAAAAAAGTGGCCAGTATAGTGGTCAATAGCTCAAAGAACAGAGAGTACTTTTTTAAATAAATTAAACCTAAATTCCTTTCCTACTTCCCCAACTTAATGCAAATTTCTTTTATTTATGGTATTGCATATTCTAACACCTAAGCATTAAAAACTAGCTAAACTAGTTTAACTTGTGATCCTTCACTACTTAATCAGACCACTGATTTCCTGCCCTCAAGCTTCTTTGGAAACAACAATCCAACAGGTGCTAACATCTTGTATGATAGTAGTTTTCTGTAGCTGTGCAAGGTAAATAAGTAGAGAAAACAACATGGGAAAAAAATTCTCCCTTTGCAAGTATTAACACTTTTTCATGAAAACACGAGGGACTGCAATTAGATCAGTAGAGTCAGTGGCAAACAGGCATCCCAGTACATAACAATACACAGATAGTTTCACAAAGTGAATGGACATTTCAGTAGCACTGAGAACTGAGAAGACTGATGGATCAAGTATAGTTAGGCAAATACTTCCTCCTCCCCCCCGGCCCAATACCATTAGAAGCCTCCTGACATTGTCATTCTTCCATCTTAGAACTCCATCTAAATGACAAGATTATAACTCAAATCATATTGCACAGAAGGTTCTTAATGTAATCCAGAGACTTGGATAAATATTTAAGAGAGTTTTTATAAAGGCTGATAAGACCTTCTTCATTTTTTAAGATGTTAACAATCTTGAGAGGTTCTATGGGATCATTTTGTTTCTATTTCAGCAAGACTTTTTTGCTGCTCATTTCTGAAGTGCCAAGCATTTTGCTTGAAGTCACATAGTGAGATTTTTTTTTACTTGTATCCATTATTCACAACAACCTAAGTGCTTCAATAACAATAAAGTTGTCATTTGTGCTCTTTTGTTTACAGAACAGATGCCACTACTTTGAGATTACGCATATTGAGATTACAGGTTTCTGTGAGCAACTTACTGGTTCTTTCTTCTGTCCACTTTCAGCTTTAAAGACAAGCAAATCGTGAATTTTCTCATTGTATACTTCAAAAAAGCTCATTTCAAGATGATACAAAACCTAATAAAATTAATAATAAGTTATTAATACAGGCCACAAAATATTTTCATCTTCCTTTGTTTCAAACATTAATCTAGATTACCAGATCCTGCTATTCGTATGTTACATGCATTTGCACTGAAGGGACTTTCCAGGAGAAAGGATATCATAAAATGATATCATAAAATCACAGATTAGTGATTAGTGATTGAGGAACCTTTAGAAGTTCACCTAGTCCAACCCCCAAGAATACAATTGATTGGAATTCCATCCACAGCCATTCCCAGATGATAGCTATCAAGCTTAAAGAAAAAAGTGTATACACGTCCACCTCAGAAGTTTCAGTGTTGGGTTTTAGTACCCAAAACTACAGTTTTGTTTGCACCTGCACTAGTCTCATTCATTAGGGATTGTGCTTCTACAGCATCATACATGTAACAGAGAAGGAATGGACTGATGTTGTCAACATCCCGACATGGAACAGAATAACCTAATGGAAAGACAAACCTTCATCTACTACCCACAGCAATTAACAAAAACAAACTTTTCATGAAAACACATCTCCTTCCTCTGAAGGCACCCAGGTTTTGCTTTTTCTGTTTTCATTTTTAAATCAAATAGAAATCTTTTTAAAATAAACAAAGAAGAGGGCAGCAAAAAACATAACACACTTAGGAATATAAAATTCAAGACATTCTGCAGCCACAGACTCACTTATTCACAATGCATAAGCAAAATAATAACAAGCATATCTAGCAGCTCTGCATTTTTTAGAAGTCATATTCTATCCAAACTCAGTAATAAATAAGCTTAGATTTCTCAGTGTTTTAACGAAGGGTTATATTGTTTCTCTCCCAATTAATTGATGTAGTAATGATCAAGTTAGAGAATCATAAGTGGAGACACAATTACCTTAAACTATTAACTTCTTTTTTTGACTACTCATTTCATGTCTTAAGAGGAAAAGACCCCAAGATGAGACTATAGGTATGCAAGGTACTGCTTGTGGGAATTCTTTTTCTCTGCATGTTTGCCAATGTCTGTAAGGACTGACTTACTTACTGACAGTCAACCTTAACATTAAGCTTATGTGGGCAAACGTTTCCACTTTCAACTGTTCCAGATTTCTGTATTGCTTTATGCTTGAATTCTTAATTTTAAACCTAATACCAGTGAACATGTAATATTCTGATCCTACAGGAGATTCTCAAAACAGAAAGGGAAACAAAATATTATCTACAATGAGAATTTTAAAGTGGTTTTAAAAATAAAAAAAAAATCCAGCTAGGATAGTTGATTTTTTATTATTTCAGCAAGAATACTGAACTAGAATACTAGAATTAGTATTAAAATGTATTTTGTTTTAATATGTGACAATGTTTAAAGATAAATTCATGTATTTTGAGCTCTATTATATATGCCTCCACTGAAAGTATGGAAACCACTAGGATTTCTTTTTATCTTTCCTTACATGAATCTTATCTTGTAAAGCATGCTGTACAGTCTACAGACACATCAAAAATATCATGCCCATATTTCTTTTTTATGTTGTTGCCATTAAGGAAGCAAAACCATGTTGATTGTCACTATTTACAGAAACCTGTTAATCAGACTGACTAGCAGAAATAAGGTTTGAATCAGCAAAAGAATACAGACATTAATAAATAGATCCAGCACTAAGGTATAGAATGAAAGAATTAAACAGGTATCAAAATACTGAAATGCATCAGTTTCCTCATAATTCAAAGGAAGCATAAGCATACCACCTGTTGCTTATCCATTTGTTCTATTTGAGTGAAAAGATCTTCACAAAGTCTTGGAATTATTCCTCGGTCTTCATCAAATCCCATCATCCTGTAGTTACAAAAAGACTGCTAGTTCTGTTTTGTAACCCTATAGCTATTTTTAATATTAATTGTATAACTCTGAAGTTGAAACGCCACATGCTTCTAAGCCACAGAGGTAATCAGCAACAGAAATAAATGTGATCTATGCTGGTGCTTGTTTGAGTGGGAAATTGGACAAGATTACTGCCAGAGGTCTTTCCCAATTCATCCATTTAAAAATGGGTTGAAAAACAAAGTAAAATGAAAACTCTTCAGCAAGAGTAAATTGTACTATAAACAGTAAACCTACAGACACCTGATATCCTAACATACATGCATTTTATATGCTCTGTACACTGCCAGTGTTGCAATCTGATCCACTCTCCATCTCTGACGCAGGTTTTTCTGCCACTGCAGAACACCAGAATACTGTACTAATTCAGGTAGTCTAGAGATTCACACAGCTACACAACATTATTATGGGCAGAAATTTGTTGTGTACACTTGACCTAAGGAAACATTTATTACTGATATTCATTTCAGCCTTCCTTGAAATACAAAGGAGTGAAGGCAAGTAATTGTTTACCTGAAGGTGGAAGGGAAAAAACAAACAAACAAACCAACCTACAAATAGAATAACGACTGCAATACTGAGCATGCCTCTCTTTTATGCCAAGGTAAATAAACATTTTAAGTAAAAACCGAGTTCCCTCTTAAAAAGAAAAACCCTGCCTCTGTGTAAGCTCTATATCTATTATAAATCGAGTAGAAACATCAAAATTATGATAAGCTGAATAAGAAAATTTTTGGTCCTTAACTACATAAGTCTATAATACCTCATGGGAATTATTTCTGGTCCTTAGCTATGTATTTGTAAGTCTACAGTACCTCACGGGAATTATAAAGTTAATAGAACCAATTTTAATAGATTCATGTGTGGAAACAGAAACAGTCCACTAGGCTTTCTATTAAAAATTATACAAAAGGTATATAAAACTGGCTATAAACCCTTGAAATGCTGCTTAACTGGGATTATTTTGTGTAAAGACTAGTTTTCAAATAAGCAATGCCACAAACATTTATTTATTTAAAGTTCTGAAACAGTCAGAACCATAGTTCCAATGATCTCTTAAAGGTCTCATCCAAAAATCATAATATACTTTAGAACATGTCATTTCATGCACAAAATAACCATCAGTGGTGAACAATAGCACTGGCATAGTCTGAGAAGCTCTCAGCATTAATAAAAATTTTTCTTCACTAAAATCTCTACAAAGAGCTTTTAGTTTCTTCACTAGAAGCAGAAAAAGGGCAGCATCTGATACGTAAAAATATTCTACAGCTTTGTCTTACTTATAAATATTGTTTTAGTAACTTCTGGTTTAAAATATGCAAAAACATTTTAACACAATTCAATAACTATTAAGTCTATTCCATACAATCTCCTTCTGTCATTTCACATTGCACAATTGGCTCCTACAGAATTCTAACAACTATTATTAGAAACTTACGTGTATGATTTTCCAGAACCAGTCTGCCCATAAGCAAAAAGACAAGCATTATAGCCCTCAAAAGCTCTTTTTAGGAGTGGCACTGCCAAAGTTCTATAAATTGTTGCTTGGCTTGCAAAATTAGGATGACACTTGTCAAAAGACCAGAAAGAGAAGTCATAACTGAAGCTGTAAGCCTGGTTTGTGGCTGGATTTCGTACAGATGTCTCTGAACCATTCATGGAGATTACAGGAAGTGAGTTTTCATTTTTCTCTCTGATTGGGAGGAAAAAATTTAGAAATTGAAACACATAAGCTACATGCTTTAAGTTAGTCATTTCAATCCATTCCTAATGGAAAATAAGAAGTTCGGTAATCATTATTGAAAAAAAAAAAAAAAAAACAAGCAAATAAAAAAAAAAAACCCACCCACCAAACAAGCCAACCCTATTTGGTGAACATACAAAGTATTCAAACTCGATATACTTCATCTGATGAGTATGTAACAAATAGCCCCAAATGCCTATAAAGTGAATTTAACCTCTTAAAAAAAATCTTTATCTTCACTTTGCATGAAATATCAGCTAATTTCAAAGCATTTATTATATCCTTTGATTGAGTCTATGATTAAACAACCCAAAACACACAAAGCAGGAATCAACATATGCTATAAAAGCATACCATTACCATCAGAACTAAGCCCAGAATACAAACCTGTTACTAAAAGGCCGTACACGCACAGCTACAATCACTTTGCTATTTTCCACTTGGAAAACATCTTTCTCAGTGCTACTGCTCTCAGCAAAAGTTTCCGTGTTCTCTTTTGGTTTTGATCTTCTACTGACAGAAGGAGAGCTGGTGACACTAGTTTTCTTTTTGGCTAAAATGCGAAGATTAGGTGTTTGCTCATTTGAAGCTGACAGAGATGACTGATCCTGAGAAATGCTGTTCTTTGATGCAAGCTTAAATCCTTCTGTTGAACCTTTTATTGGCGTCCTCAGTCTTTCTAAACTGTTATGCTTTATCATCAAGTGTGGTAACCTTTGCTTTGCAGCTAGCTTATTTATGTTACCATTTTCATTCAGTTGTTCTCCTGTTAGCTTATTAGTATATTTTGAGGTAACTAATTGTTCTGATTTAGGAACTTCATTTTGAAATTTTGTGTCAGCAGCAATTGTCCTGTATTTTACATGCACACAACTGTTGTTTTCACGCAGACCATCAACAAAGCCAAAGGAATCCTTGCTGTTCAGGTTACACTGCAACTTTGTATTTGACTGACCCTCAACTAATTTAAAGCTTGGTTTAACATCATGGGTTTCATTAGTATTAATATTTGGTGTAAGTGCAATCTTGTCATTTCTTTGTGCAGCAAAGTCATTATTTTCTATTCCAGACACAGTATTCCGAGTAATTTTAGTCTTCTCCATGGAGCCAGTCCTCACACACTTCTGCAGAGTAAATCTTTTCTCCATTTGTGTATTTTGCATGCCCTGTGATGTATTTGCATGCAATTGTTCACTACCAGACACTGGTTTTTTGTTTGCTCCAGTTCTCCTCCGGAGCGTTAATCTGCCTTCAGGTTTAAAGGTAGCTGATATGTCGCCCACTTTTTTACAGGCTGAAATCACATAGGTCCTATTTACTTCCCCAGTCTTATTCAGAGAACATGAGAGTAGACTATCCTTTTCTTCCCCTGATTCACGTGATTGCAGATGTTGCCCAGACACCCTGCTGCTGGTAAAGGTATTCTGCGAAGAAGCCTTCTGCAAAGTGGTAGTACGTTGTACCTCAGAGGGGCTTCTTGTAGGAACTGTGTAAATAGGCATTTTGTCTTCCAGCAAGTTAATGTTTGGTTTTAAAAATGTACACCACCTTTCCTAAAAGGTTATTTCTAATTGCTTCTTCTTCAGGAATCTGTGGGAGATAAAGTTAAAATTGCTATGATGCTCATATCCAGTGCAAGTTGTGTTTTGGAGCTCTTTATATATACTGCAATAAATACATCTTCCAAATATTAATAACAATTAGTAGCCTGTTTCATCTCCAGTACTTAAATAAATAAAAAATGAAATTAAAAAAAAAATCCTTTAAATTCCTTTTTAAATTCCTTTAAATTTGCATGACTGCTTCTACCAAGAATAGGCTATTTGTTTCCATTTGTTGAGTTCTCTTTGTGCCAGAAAGTAAACCCAACATCATGAAGAAGCACCAGCTGGTACAAAGAACAATCTAACTATTTAGCAACAAAGATCAATACGGACATTTCTTTCAAACAATCTACCACAATCCCTGAAGAAAGTGCATTCAAGATTGTGCCTCCATTCAATCATAACTCTTTAAGCTCTTAGTGCTTCACAACTATGAGACCCCAACAGAACAACAAAATTAACACTGAGTAGGAAATCTGTGAACACAAAAAGCAGTTTTGGGTTGGGTTTTTCAGGTTTTTGCCATATAATATAAAACCCACTATAGGACAATTAGAAAAGACAACTTTTAAAATGATTTTGCACATGATTTTAATTCACTATAGTACATAGGTGCATAGCAAAATAAAAAGATACCTAGCCTAGGAGACAGAAAAAAGATGGTAAAATGCATCCTGCATCTTTCTACATGTAAGGATTTAGAAAACTGTATGTACCCAACATGTATGAAAAAGCATGTTTTCACTGTTGCGTATGCATCATAGTTACTGGGTTGTTACAAGCTTGACATCACTACCCACTGCAGACTTGCCAGCTGCAATTAATTTGCAATTACAAGGCAACAAGAAGTCACCTGGCTCAGATTCTTCAAAAACTGCATCTATCATTAACAAAAGCAGATGTTCAGGGGAGAAGGAAAGAAAAGGGAAAAGAAAATGGAAAGGAAAGCAAGATGAGAGCAAGTGATATAGAAGCAACCTTTCAACCATTGCTCTCACAGCAGTTTCTTTTAATGCTGCATTATTGAGTGATAGCTTTCAGAGTACTCTCAGAATGTATGCAGTTGCATCCACTTCTACATGCGTCATAACTGCCCAAAGCCTTCCTAGGTCAAAATTTGTGAGGAAAGTTCCCAGAATTTCAAACCAGGGCATATATATTGTTCAATCCAGTTTGGACAGGAAGCTCTTACATTACATGAGTTGTAAAATACACATTTTGTGATTCCATCTAGCAGCCAGTAAATAAACACGGTTGTAAGCTGTGAATTGCTTTAGTGTTTCCTGGAAGTCCATCTTTTCCCTTCAAAGGAAAAAGAACTCCCTTAAAATAACTAGCATAATGACAGAAGTTCTTCGATAGCTGTGCCTTGCTAATATTCACAGCAGTTTTCTTAATCCCTCTACTAAAACCTCCTTCATTCTAAATTAAGAAATAAGGTTCAAGACTTGTTAAAAGCACACTCGTTCATCATTTTTAATCATTACATATAACAATTAGAGATTAAACCGAAGCGTTCAAAGCTGGGTGAAAGCGCAGAACGCGACAACTCTACTATCCCTCAGCAAACCTACCCTCTTCAGGCGAGCCCCCGTCAGACACTGGACACATCTACAGACCTGCTTTAGGACCGCCCCGCTGAAGCGGCCCCTCAGCCCTGCCG